TTTTTTACCCCTCCGCCAAAGTAATCGGAATCGTGCCCCAGTGTCATTGTTGGATACTTTTGAAGTAGATGCGTTGATGGAAAATGATGGCGAAACATTTTCAACAAGTTTACCTGAAAGTCCGTTGGCCAGTCCGACCTTGGTGCTTCCTTCTACATCAGAGAGTATAGCAAGTCCGTCCGCCCTGTCCATCGCAACAAGTGCTTGCACGCAAAATACCACTACACCAAAAAGAAATTTGAAAAGGCCTCAAAACTCAAACCCATTTGCATTATTATTTGAAATTCAATCGAAAAAGAATTAGAATCACGAAAACTAGAATTCGAAAAGGAAAAAGAGCAAAACAAATTCATGTTACAGAAGCTACAACTGGAGAAGGAGGAAAGGATTGAAATGGAGAAAATAAGATTGGAGCACGAAAGATTGTCAAGTGTTGATACGTCAAACAAGAAAATGCTTGATGATTCGTAAGGTTATGATCCGCAAAAGAAAGCGTACTCTAAATTTTTCGTTTTTCTTCGGAACCACGCTCAAAAGTTTGGTTTAAATGCCAAAATATTTCTTTTTTAATTTTTTAAATGCTCGAATGTGCATATAGAACTTGAATTTATTCCAATAAATAAGCTTTAAATTGTTAATACAAATTCTTTTATTCATTGTTTGCATAACTTAACAATTCATAGATGGTTCGGCGTACCGCTTCCCCTTCATTAGTTCGAACAATAGGTAATGACTCTAAAATATCGTGCTCAGATTCCTCAAGCTCGTATTTATTTACTCTATCTATGCCTTTTTCATCCTTGATTTGAAATCTCAACGTTTTCAAGCTGCCAAACCGTTCCTTCAACGACTGAATATTTTGTTAAAGAAAGTTCGCTGACCCTGTGTTAATTCTCTAGAGTTTTCTCTAAATGGTGTTATAACAGTTCGTGACAATTTATAGGCACTGTCACCTGCGATCCATTCAGCTCCTCCAAAAAGCACATCGGCGTCATTCGACAATTCGCAGTTACTAAAAATAGGTGCATCATGTACGCCACCTGGATAGCGTAACACTAAATGTCTTATTTGAAGCGAATGGCCACAAACGGCTTGAACTTTAACTGAGTATTGGTGCTTTCGCGAAAAGTAAGTTTCTGGGTCGTGAGAAGGTTTTTCCGCCAAAGCAATTTCAGTACCATCGACGTATCCCACGCGGTTTGGCAATTTACCCCAGGTTTCTGACACGAGCTTTTTACGTTCATCGCTATTTGGTCAAAACAGATACTGATCTTTATGCTTTAACAGTGCTTTCAACATTCTGTCAGTCAAATTCTAATATAAAGAAAAAGATAAACATTAATCTAACAAAACAATGACAAACACTAACCTGAATGATACCACCATCACTAACTCCAAACAAGCCAGCAATCTTAGACACAGTAGCGAATTCACCGTTTGAGCCTAAGCGATATAATACGATTGCTAATTGTGTTTTGAGAGGGAATTGTTTGCAAGAACGTATTTGGTTGAACGACGCATCGTCCTTTATTAAATTTAAAATAAAGTCGAAGGTTTTCCAGTTTACGTGTGTAATCTTCTTGAATCTAGTCTCATCAAGTTCCCATAACACGTCGTTTAAGAATTCGTTACACTTATAAACAGTTGACCTTTGCACCATATAGCAGGACGGGAATTATGAGTGACTTATAGAGTTTGGTTTTTGTTTGTCGAGAAAGGACTTTGCTTCTCAATTGCCTACTCAGTCCGAAGTAGCACCTGTTGGCATAACTCTTGCTGCGTTGGATTTCTAGGCTGACATTGTTGGTGGTGTTTACGCTGGTTCCAAGGTAGACGAAATTATCTACAACTTCAAAGCTATGACTGTCAACAGTGACGTGAGTGCCAAGTCGCGAGTGCGACGACTGCTGGTTTGATGACAGGAGATATTTCGTCTTGCCCTCGTTCACTGCCAGGCCCATTTGTGTTGCTTCCTTGTCTGGTCTGGAGAAAGCAGAACTAACGGCGCGGGTGTTGAGGCCGATGATGCGGTCTGAAGCCACACTGATAAGGTCAGTTGTTGACGGTGGGCTCTAATCTTTCACACAATACGGTTGATAGAACCTTATATTCGATATTGAGGAGGCTTATTCCACGGTAGTTAGCGCAGATTGTGGGGTCTCCTTTTATGAGGACTGGGCATAGCACACTTAAGTTCCAATCGTTGGGCATGCTTGCGTCCGACCATATTTTACAAAGAAGCTGATGCATGCTCCTTATCAGTATGTCGCCGCCGTGTTTGAATAGTTCGGCCGGCAATCCATTGGCCCCGCCGCTTTGTTGTTCTTCAGGCAGGTAATTGCTATTCGAACTTCATCCTGGTCGTGCAATGGAACGTCTGCTCCATCGTCGTCGATTGGGGCATCGGGTTCGCCTTCTCCTGGCTCTGGGCATCGGTGACTAGATCATCTGTGGGGGTTCTACAATAGTATGCTCCGGTCTTGAAACCCTCTGTAAGCCGCCGCATTTTTTCGTAGAAKCTTCGAGCATTACCCCTATCGGTCAGCTTATCAAGCTCTTCGTACTCACGCATTTCGGCCTCTTTCTTTTTCTGTCTGCAAATGCGTCTCGCTTCCCTCTTCAACTCTCGGTACCTATCCCATCCCGCACGTGTTGTGGTCGCTCGTAACGTTGTGAGGTAGGCAGCCTGTTTTCTCTCCGCTGCGACACGGTACTCCTCGTCGTACCAGCTATTCTTTTGTACTTTCCGAAAACCAATGGATGCGGTTGCAGCTGTACGTAAGGAGTTTGAAATGCAGGTCCACAGTTCCCTTATACCGAGTTGATGACGAGTGCTCTCAGAGAGCAGGAGTGCAAGCGGAGTAGAAAATCGTGACTGCAGCTTCTCGACGTCGAACCTTCCTTGTGTTTGATGGCGTGCGTTTTTTGCTGCACAGAGGTGGGTGCGAATCTTGGCTACAACAAGAAAGTGGTCCGAGTCCACGTTAGGACCGCGGAGCGCACGCACATCTAAAACACTGTAGAGTCTTCCGTCTATCACAACAAGATCGATCTGGTTGATGGCTTTTCGATACGGAGACAGCCAGGTAGCTTGATGTATCTTCTTATGCTGGAATCTAGTACTACAGATAACCATATTTCGGGCCCCGGCGAAGTCGATCAGCCTCAACCCATTTGGGGATGTTTCCTCGTTGAGGGCCTTCTTTGCCCACCCTGGCGTTAAAGTCGCCAAGCACGATTTTGACATCGTGGCGGGAGCAGCTCTCGCTTCCCAAGCACTCATAAAATTCATCCTTGGTCACATCGTCCTTCTCTTCCGTCGGGGCGTGGGCGCAAATCAGCGATGTGTTGAAGAACCTCGCTTTGATGTGGATTGTGGCTAGACGTTCATTCACCGGGGTGAATGATGGTACTCGGCGACGGAGTCTCTCTCCCACCACGAATCCCACACCAAATTTGCGCTCATTTATATGGCCACTGTAGTAAATGCCACAAGGACCTACTTGTCTCTGTCCTTGTCCCGTAYATCACATTTCTTAGACTGCGGTGATGTCAGCCTTTATTTTTACGAGGACATCAACCAGCTGGGCAGCGGCACCTTCCCAATTAAGGGACCGGACATTCCCGTTGCATGCCCTCAATTCGTAGTCCTTTTTTCGTTTGCCATGGTCGTCATCAAAAGTGGGGTCTCTCATCCGAGGCTGTTGTTGCGTTGTCATTGGGGTGGTTTTTTTACGTGGCGGGTCCCAACCCCAGTACACAATCCTATGCAAGGAATGTTTCGCCTTCTCACTTTAGCTCGCCTTCAAACGGATATTCTTAGGCTACCCAGAGGATACTTGGTCAAGGACCGGAAGTCGTGAGCTGCTTGAGTCATAGTAAAAGAATCATTTCTGGCCACTCCCAATTGAATGGCAATCAGAAAACTCTCCTCACTTGCGTGAATCTTCCAATATTTCCCATACACTTACCAATATTTTCGGTCGAAAATCAACTATACTATATGAGAAATAGACGTGGATGTAGTCCGATTTCGCCCATTTTCGCGCTGTCACATAAAAACATGAGAAGAATGTCACGTAGTAAATTTAATCGAAATTGGTTCGACGGGTCCCACCATCCGAACAGAGGAGCTTCTCCAGAGGAGGAATAATAATAACACAAGGTATTTCTCTATCTTCCATTAAATTTATTCACGTTTTTCACTCTGTATATTTAAATACACTCCCTTAACATTGAAATAAGTTCACATTTCAATTCTATTTTGTAATAATTCACCTAAATTTATTAACTTAAAAATCACTTAGCGAACTCGGCGTTGCAAAGGTTAGATTGCTTACAAGTATGAGGAAAACGAGCCACATCTTAAACACCAAATATGTAGGATTCTTAACGAGTTTTCTTTGTTTGTTTTTTTGAGTAATTTTTTTTCTACATTAATCATAATCAAAAATACTTTCTAACATTTTTTAAGTTATAATTGAGTTGTGAAAACTTTTTCCACATATTGTACATTTTACATTTAGTATGTATATGTATAATATGTGATTTATATTTAATAAACACATATAACTAAAACTCTATGATAATATAGTATTATACAATTTATATAACATCATGTCAGGATGACTGAAGTACTTTAAAAAAATAACCCTGGTCGAGCGAATACCCGGGSTGACTGAAGTACTTTCGCGTAGGACACATTTCTGCGTTGGCGCCCTTCGGTCGCGCTTTAAAAAACTAACTCTGGCCGAGCGAATACCCGGGATGACTGAACTACTTTCGCGTAGTACTCCTTTCTGCGTTAAAAATAAAAAAATATATTGAGTTTTTGTTATAAATCGGTTAAAGTGGTTCTATTTGTTGGTTACCATGCACTCATATTGAAACAAAATTTGAATTTTCCTACTGTACTAATATACTTTACACTTTATTACGTAATTTGATTATATAATATTACTTATTTGCTTAATAAATTTAAAAAAGAAAATATCCATATGCATGAATAGAGGAATTTTTGCGAAAAAGAGGAATTTCAGCGAATTGCCTTATCATCACATGGCAGCGCTCCATTTCGTCGTAATTTTTCGTAAACAAATGAGGTTCAAACGAATGTAAACAGTAATTTTAAAATAAAGATTTTTTTGGTAAAAAACCTGCTAAAAGTGTAAAATGTGGGCTTATTTAAAAGTTTATAGTGTAATTTAAATAATTTGAGGTGGAAAATTTGAATAAAGTGTGTTTAACGTGGTGAAATAGCTTCTTGAAATGTTGGAATTTTGCTAATTTTTTAAATTTCAGATCGAATATCTCGTAAACTAAGCGTTTGCGGTATCTATATTTTTTAATCAGCAGGACTTCCTCTTTCCAACGGTACCTTCAGATCGCGGCGCTAAGGAAATCGGAATTGTGCCGTATCGTGTTTCCATGAGTACAGTAAGAAGCTGTATAAAGTTACGTAGGTTCTCTTTCTTGCGATAAAATTCAAACAACTATAGTTACTTCGTGCAGGTCTTATATTAATTCCGTCAATTGTCGAAGTCATCGAGTAAATGTCTATTTTAATCGATTCAAGACAGGCTTCAATCGATCCTAAAAAGTCGATTATTTCTATTAAAGGATTTATTTTTGGCTAAAGTCGGATTCGACTTTGCTATCCCTAATATATTTACACATTTTATATATACATATTTAATATATGTATGTATATTATATTATTATATTAAGACTATATTATTATATTAAGAACGGAGCTTATGGTGTTTTAATAGGATGAAAATAAACGAGAAAAATTTGTGTGTTTTTGCTACTTCTCCTCCCTTTGATTGCGAAGGTTTTTTGAATAAGCGAGGTGAAATAAATAAGGCTTTCCAAAGGCGATATTTTGTACTGAAGGGAAATTTATTATTTTATTTTGAGAAAAAAGGAGATAAAGAACCATTAGGACTCATAATTGTAGAAGGTTGTACAATAGGTAATCAACAAAAAGTTAAATGAAATTGTTTATTACAATTAACCGTTTAATTTTCTTTGGCTTTAGAATTATCCGAAGAAAGCGATCAGTACTGCTTCGAAATAGCTTTCAATGGGAACCGAACTTATATCTTAAGTGCAGATTCGCAGGAAATTATGGAAAATTGGATGAAAGCGTTGACGTGTGCTGGTTATGAGTACAAAAAATTGGTTGTGGCGGAACTACAGCGACAATTAGAGGAAATTGAATTTTCTCGTAATAGTAAGTTATAATTAACATATGACTTCTATTACACTGGCCTTTGTTTTGGTGCAGCTCTGTGCGCATCAGTAGTCGGTATAGTAGGTAGGACGAACCACATTCCCGCTACTAGATGTCAGCTGACAGCTCTAGTTTACCTACAATTGTCAATTTAATTTCACCGTATACTCTGTTTGCAAGCACTTGCCAGCCACCGCATCGCGCATCACTTATACGCCCTGACATACACTAAGTAATGTAGGCTAGTAATGGACTGTCTTGCATGAGGTCAGCTGTTTCAAATATTGGCTTCTGGCAATTTATGTGAATAAACCAACTCCCAGTAGTTGGTATAGTACGAGGGATGAACCACATTCCCGCTACTAGATATTTTTTTCTTCTTTATTATGAACAAGAGTTGGTATAGTACGAGGGATGAACCACATTCCCGCTAATAGATATTTTTTTCTTCTTTATTATGCTCTTGTTCATAATGATATGGAAAATGTGACTTGTTTTCTCGTATCAAATCAAAAAATACATCCAAAATTTGCACTATGAACACATGGTATTTCTTTAGTTTCACTAAATTTTTTTCACGTTTTTTTACTCTGTATGTTTAAATATACACTCTAAGCATTGAAATAAAATCACATTTCACATTTGTTTTGTAATGTTTCAGTTAAATTTAGTAATTTAAAAATCACTTATCAAATTTATGGCTAAAAAGTTTAGAGTGTTTATATTTACGAGGAAACCCAGCTTTGTCACACCTTAAAAACCAAAAGTGAAGGATTTTCAGCGTTTTCTTTGTTTGTACTTTCGAGTGATTCTTTTTTCCTTATTAACTATAAAAAAACTATAAAGAAGATTTTTCAAGCTAAAATGGAATATTTGAACACTTTTCCATATACATACATACATATATGAATGTTTATTATTGGTTATCATGCACTCATATTGAAACCAAATGTGAGCTTACGTATAAAATGAATAAATTTTGGTTATTATATCTGTCAGCGATTTCTATTTATTTTGATGATACATTGTTTTGTATTTTAAGTGACGATATATATATTATTATATTCAAAATTTCAGTTTTCGTACTGTACTGTATACTTTACACTTTATTACGTAATATTATTTTATAATATTAGTTATACATACAGTGGGGTGCATTAGTGAGTACATAGATGATATTTTTGTACTTAATAATGCATAACAAGAGTAATAATAAAGATAACAACAACAATTATGTTTTTAATTGTTTGGTGCTTGGTAGACTTCAATTTTATTTATATTACAACAACAGAAAATAGCAAAGTCCAATAACAAATTAATAAAAACCAGAACAACCTGCATGTACTCAATTTTGCACCATTTTAAAATATGAATATACTGAGCGAAATCAACATTTTGTCCATAAGCCTTTGTTTTTAATAACGCTTTTCATGCGCTTTGGCATACTTTCCACCAAGTTCTGAATTATTTCATCCGGTATATCCAGCCATTCCTTGGCAACACGCTCCCAAACTCGCTAAGACTTGTAGGTGCCCTTTCGTATGTGCCTAATCGTCGTTTCACAATTGACCATAAATTTTCAATTGGATTGAGATCAAGACTTTGTGGCGGTCACTCCATCACCTATGTCATAGTCTCTTTCACGTGATGTCTTTTGATGGTTTCATTGGGGCGGCGCCAGCAATATTGCTTACCATCAGACTCGAACCGGTTGAATTTTGATTCGTCTTACCAAATAACACGTTTCCAGTCGTCTTCAGTCCAATTCACATGATCTCTTGCAAACTTTAGTCGCGCCTTAGCATTTTTGACAGATAGAGCAGGTTTTTGTTTTTTAACCGCCGAGATATACCCAATTTTGTGGAGGGATGTTCTTGCAGTCCATCGACTGACAGATTTACCTATTTCCAAGGCTGCATTTCCTGGTGTCAAACACTTGTCTTTTTTCATTCGTGCCATCGTTAGGCATGCGTCCGCATCTGTCAAAAGCCTTTTACGCCCTCTGACCTTCACATTTGATTGACAATTTCGCCTTTTCTGCACTCTTATCACTACCGACTGGCTTATTTTCAAATCCACAGCAATTTGCCGAGAAGAACATCCACTTTCAGTCATCGAAACAATTGTGTCCTCAACTTCACGCGATATTTTTTCCATTGTTTTTATATTTTATTTATTTAAATATTTTTTAAAATTTATTTGTTATTAATTCTTTAGTTATCTTAAACTATGTCCACAATATGCAAAACATTATCTTAGATTAGAATTTACTATACATTAAACACTCTATTTGAAAAAAAAAAAACGGTAAATATTTAATGCATTGCTGAAATGATAACGGGTGCAAAATTGAGTACATGCAGGTTGTTTTGGTTTTAATAATTTGTTATTGGACTTTGATATTTTCTGTTGTTGCAATATAAATAAAATTTAAGTCTACTAAGCACCAAACAGATAAAAACAAAATTGTTGTTGTTATCTTTATTATTACTCTTGTTATGCATTGTTAAGTAAAAAAAAACATTATGTAAATAAAGTGTGTTTAATGTGGTGAAATAGCTTATTGAAAGGTCGAATATATGTAACTAAGCGTTTGCGGTACCTGTAACCCCTTTCCAACCTCCAAATCCCGGCGCCAAAGAAGTCGGAATTGTGCCAATATTAGATATGCATTCAAAGTTTGGCCAACGTAAGTGTACGAATTTTTTATTGCCTGCACAAAAATGAGATATTTTAATTTTTGATAAACGTGCGCATCAAGTTTGATTCACTTTTAATTTTTTTTTATTATTGTTGTATGGTTACTGTTTGAATTATAATCAATCTGTTTGATTTATAAGATCAAACTTTTAAATTTAAATAAGATGCTTTATATCATTACCACAGGTGGGGGGAAAATAAAGATTTCATTTAAGCTGAGAACTATTTCATTCTACGAGAAGTGTTTCCTTCTACAAGAACTATTTTAGTCTGTTTTTTATTTAAAATTTTCACGTATTTATATACAATTTTAAGAACTATCTTAACTATCTTAATATGTGTGTATGTGTGCATGTTCAGATGTATGTAGCACATTGTTTATGCTACATGGTATGGGGTTGTTTTTAAGTGAACATGCAGATTTGTATTGAATTGTCTAAATGCATAGTAAATATGTTTGTTTGTTAATTGTTGAGTGCATACGTATTGCATATACATATGTATGTCAGCGCATACGTGCCTGATATAAATGTTGGTTGGTTTATGTATTTGTTTTGTACTGCCTCAGCATTGGCAAAGATAAGCCTGTTCCCGTTCCCACGACAGTCGGGTCTACGAAAACCGGAACGGACCCGGATTTTTATCCGGCCAAGGACTGTCAACTCGGCAGAATTCTGCCGTTACAACAACAACAACAACATAAGCCTGTTCAATATATTTGAACATATTGCCGAGGGAATAAATAATTATTCAATATTAGTGGACTGTTTTTAAAATAGTGAGAATTACACAGTTTCATATCTTGTCTAATATGTTGAATATTCTTAACTATAATAAAACTAAATATTATATGTCCTTGGTATCAACGAACATGTTCATTATTGAACAGTTACTCTTGGTTGCAGTTTAAGAGCTGAAATAGTTTAAGCAAAGTCCAAACATCTCTCTATAAAATTTTTTTTATCACTTTATGGCTTTTATATAGATATTTTGTAAAAAAATTATAAGAGGAGAGAAAATAAATAACTTCAAAATTAATTGCAGAAATTAATACCGAGACCACTTCCGCAACAAATGTACCAAGACCACCACCACGAAGGTACAACCCATTCAATCGACCAGCACCTCCCCTGCCAGGATTTAGCAGTAATAATAATGTCTCCTCAGAACCATTTATTAATGGACAAATGGTTTCCCCAAAACAGTGTGCACAGACTTCATCAGGTAAATATATGTAAATACTAAAATGGATTATCATGAGCAACAGCTTAGCTAGTAATTGTTTTTTTTACATTATGTATTACTTAAATGATTCATTTAAAGGTTTGACAGCCTTTCAACGTTAGTAAAATGTGTAAATAATTTTTTTGGAACTTTGTAAAGTTGTAAAGTTTTTCATCGGTTTTTCGAATTTTTATTTGTTGTCATTCGGATTTAATATTGAAATAATAACAAATGTCTTTAAGATTGAATTTTTTTAAGTTAAAACCCAGTACTTTCCTTTACATACTTATTCGGTTATTTACGTATGTCTGTTTATCGAGATGATGTTCGGTTTACAGTTTGCAGTATGCGAAAGAGTAAGCTTAGCAATCCACTTGGCATAAAATCAGAGTAACTGAATAGCGTGCGTCCAGATTCCATTATATGAGATTATGTCAATAGCCCAAAAACCGTACTTTTAAAATTCTATGAAAATTTTAAAATCAAATGTTTTGTTTGCTTTTATTATTCAAAAATATATTTTCCAACATTCCAGGCAATAAAAATTAATTTGATTCTTAACTGCTAGTAGCTGCTAGCTACGAGGAAAAACAAAGCAAGCCAATTGAGAAGTTACCCTCATTAAGAGCGATATAAAGAAACAGGAAAGAAAATTAGCAGAAAGTAACTAGAAAATAGAAAAATATGGTTTTCAACTCCAAAAATCAGAAAAATTAAATTCAGTTTTTGCCGAAAAGCTGTATAATTAATAAAGTAGACATTAGTTTTTACAAATTTGATGTTCTGCACATTCGCAAAAAGACTTCGTGATCATTCAAATCATTACCAAGTTCCTAACACCATGTAAGCCTAAGTTTTATTGAAAACTAAATTGCTTTTGAATAACGTGTTTTTGCAGATTCATAAGTTATTTTGTTTTAAGTTAGGAATCATTTTGTTTTTTACTAAATGAGATGTGTGGACATTTCCAGATGAGACAAGTTTCTCTTTTTTTTTCATATTCCATTTCTATTAATATTTTTCCTAAATAAACGCAGTAATGTTCAACTAATAATTATATAATGTCCTCCGCATATTCTTGACAGCGGATCCATTGTTAGTTAACAAATAAAGTAGCTTGTCCACGGCAAGGCTCCATAATGGAGGAGCATCCTCTGGGCGGCTGTTTATAGTGTAGAGACGAATGCATGGTTGCAATTTTCAGCGCATTTTACCTTATTTCATAATCAACGTTCTTTTCCATGAAAAGAAAGTTAGTTAGACTAATTGGCCTAAAGAATTTCGCCAGTAAATAATCCTTTCTTTCTACCTTCCACCAATTGCTGGAAAGATACCGTGTGCCCCCGGAGAATTGAATTTTCCGAACGAAGCCATAGCTCATTGGATTGAGTCCTCAGAAAACGAAATATTACACTCTCTGTCTATAATACGATTGGTAGCTAATGAAAGTAACAGTAGTCACTAATTTTAAGGTTTGACGCTCTTATTTCAGTAGTGGGAAGTATTAACTTGCTTACATATTCTTCAGTATATTTTATAAGTTTTATTACATAGTTTTTAACAAATTACAAAATGAGTTTTATTTGTTTTACAGAATCAATTATTGGGAACAGCCCAATACATTCACAAAGGAATAACAAGAATGACTTTAATAATACAGTAACCTCAGCAGTATTTGAATCATGTTTCCCAATAGCGAATGTTTTGCGAAATAAGAATTATACATTTGACCAATTACATGAACATTTGCGTCAAGTAGTAATGAAAGACGTGCTCATATACAGAACGGAACAATTACTCAAGTCGCAGCCACTTATTCAATTGTGATTTTTTCTAATATTCAACATATTATGTTTAAGAAAAGTGATGTGCCTTAAAATTAAGACACATATTTGCTACAGATTTAGTGTATCTAATATAATCTAATATTTATTTTAATTTTCGTAATTGCCGAAAACTAACTATATATTCGCTAATTTTTTGAGGTAGTATTACTATAAAAATAATTGCAATTATGTATGTAGATCCAAAAATAATTTGACATTTATTAAAAATCAACTACTAACTTGCTGTGTGGTAGACAAAATGCAACTATTGCTCGTTTTTTTTCAAGACGATAATTTAATAGGCATATTAAAAAGATATTCATTTGCAAAATAATAATTCATTGAAAATAAACTACACCAAAAACAGAACTGTTAATTTTTCAATTACCGCGACTATCGGTCAAACGTTACTGGAATTTACAAGGATTTTATCTGACCACCTGCTATCATTGGATGGATTTTACAATACTGCTCAATATCTCCACTTGGGGAATGATACAATATAACATTACGACAACTGTCATTTTGTGACTTAATTTTTATGCTCTGAACAGGGTATATTAAGTTTGTCAGGAAGTTTGTAACACCCAGAAGGATGCGTTGGAGACCCTATAAATTGTATATATAAATAATCAATATGTTGAGCTGCGTCGATTTAGCCATGTCCGTCTGTCCGTTAGTTTTTCTGTATATATACGAACTAGTATTTTTAAGATATCGTTTTGAAATTTTGCAAAAGTCATTTTCTCTTCAAGAAGCTGCTCATTTGTCGAAAATGCCGATATCGGACCACTATAACATATAGCTGCCCTACAAACTGAACGATCGGAATCAAAATCCTGTATATAAAACTTTCACATTTGACGATATATATTCACGAAATTTTGTATGAGAAATAATGTAATATCGGAAGAAATTGCACATATAGGCTCACTATATTATATAGCTGCCATACAAACTGAATGATCGGAATCAAATGCTGGTATGGAAAAATTTTCCATTTGACAAGATATATTCACGAAATTTGGTATAGATTATTATGTAATCTCCGAAAATATTGTTCAGATCGGATTACTATGGCATAGAGCTTCCATGCAAACTGAACACATAGTTACTAAACTAAAGGTGAAGAAACCTTCGTTTTACTCAGATGGTAACAGAAAGTTTTCAAAATGAGGCGAGTCTCAAGGTGTCGTGAGCTTGAATCGCACAGCTGGCGCGTCGAGTCGATTCTATTGTTGATCTTTAAACGTGTTTTTCTTGAAATAGTATTTTTTGAACAGATTTTTTTTTGGAATTTTCAGCAAAGACTTGGCTATCTAATTACCTATAAATTATCATTGTTAATAGATTTTTGACAACATTATGACACAATTACTAATAAAAAGCAGGCGAAAAAAAACAAAAAATAATAATTAAAAGTTGCTCTACTTGTTTATTTATCAATGAATTGTTTCAGTCGAAGGTCAT